TTTTTTTGGTCCGGTCGTGGGGCTTGAACTCTGGGCCTGGGCACTGTCCCTCAGCTCTTCAGCTCAAGGCTAGCGCTCTATCCCTTGAGCCACAGAGCCACTTCCGGCTTTTTTCTTTTTTGCTTATGTGGTGCTGAGGAATCGAACCCAGGGCCTCTGGATGCAAGGCAAGCGCTCTACCACTGAGCCACCTTCCCAGCCCGATTTTATTATGTTTTGCAGTGTTGTACACTAATAAGTATTAATAATAAACCAGTAAGCTAGCTTGTTTGAATAATAGAAGAACTTAACTAGATTTATCTTTTTGTCTCTCTGTATGAAAATCTTTTCTTTTTTCCAGCTTTATTGAGCTATAATTGACAACATTACATACATTTACAGAGTATATTTTGATGTGCATATTATTGTATATTTTGATGTGCATATTATTGTACTCATTGTCTATTGGTAACAACTGAATAACACAGACTTGGTAAATTATATAAGGAAAATAAATTTGTTTTGACTTACAGATCTTGGGATCCAAAGTTGAGGGGTCAAATCTGGTGATAGCCTTCTTGACTGGCAAGGTCCCGAAGTAGCTCAAGGAAACAGAGTATACCTTTGGTATGTGTTTCTGTGGTCTTCTGCACCTTTGTTATATAGTCACCAGGATTCAATTGGAGAGCTCCATCCTAATGACCTTTTCTAATGCTAATTCTCTCCCAAAGTCCCCAGTCTAAACACCATAGTCATATTGTTTTCACCTTATTAATACCTCACAGTGGGGGTTAAATTTTAACACATGAAACCTTGAGGGACACACAAACTATATTCAAGCCAAATCAATTATGAAATAGTGACTGTTATCATTAATGTATGTGCTAAAAATGTTTAGGATCTATGTAAGCTGAGAGCTCATGCCTGTAATCATAACTACTCAGGAAGCTGAGATCTGAGGATCAAGGTTTGAAGGTAGCCCAGGCTGACAGATCTGAGAAACTTATTTCTAATTAACCAGCAAAATACCAGAAGTAAGGGTGTGGCTCAAGTGGTAGAGCACCAGGCTTGAGTGGAAAAGCTAAGCTAGACTAGTAGAAACTGAGTTCAAGCCCCAGTACTAGTATGCATATACTCTCTTTTTCTTCATAGCAAATACCAAGTACAAAATACAGCATTACTAACTATCCTCATCATGATATACATTAGATCTCCAGAATTATTCATCCTGACTGACTAGAAACTTTGTATCCTTTGACTGAAATCTTGTTCCAAAATCCTACTAACTGGTTGGGAAGGTGGCTCAGTGGTAGAGCGCTTGCCTTGCATGCCTGAGGCCCTGGGTTCGATTCCTCAGCACCACATAAGCAAAAAGAAAAAAGCCAGAAGTGGCACTGTGGCTCAAGTGGTAGAGCGCTAGCCTTGAGCTGAAGAGCTGAGGGACAGCGCCCAGGCCCAGAGTTCAGGCCCCACACCAGACCAAACAAAACAAAACAAAACAAAATCCTACTAACTTAGCCACTTGCAACCACAATACTACTCTCTGCTTTTCAACTTTTTTATATTCCACAGATAAGTGAGACCCTGTAGTATTTGTCTTTCTCTACCTAGTTTATTTCCCATATTGTCCTCCAGCTCATTTATGTTGTTACAAGTGATCAGATTTTCTTCTTTTTAAATCTAACACTCCATTGTATGTGTGTTACATTTTCTTTATCCTCACATTACCCAAGTGTTGCTATCATACATTGGCTATTGTGAATAATTACAGTGAATATGAAAGTGCAGAATTACCTTTTTGACTTACTGATTTCATAACTTTTGGATATATACTCAGAAGGAGGACTACTAGATCAGTTAGGCCTCGTTAAGGTTTTTTCATTTAGACAGTGTCTTGCTGTGTAGCCCAAGCTGGCCTCAGACTTGATGTTGTCTTATTTGTGCCTTGTAAGTGCTGGGATTACATGAAGTGGTATTATGTTCAGCTCCTATTTTTAATTTTTGAGGTACCTCTATACTGTTTTCCATAATGGTTATCTTAATTTATATTCCTAAATAATACAACTTTCCTTTTCCTCTATATCAGCACTAATACTTGTTATTCTTTTGTCTGCTTTTTTTTAATCTTATAAATGCATTAGAAACACATGCATGAAAGAAAAAAAACATTAAAATACCTATCTAAGGGTTCATTTTCCTGACATCACATTATCTGACCTTTTCTGCTTGTTTTGTCTGCTTTTATAGTAGCCACCCTAATAGCTGTGAATTGGTTTTTTATTTTGGTTTCTATTTCCTTGATGATTAGTCATATTGGACTTTTTGTTGTGATTATTTATATACCTTCTTTTGAAAATTGTCTATAAGGTCCTTTGCCTATTTAATAATATGTTTATTTGTTTACTTTTTCTGAGTTATTTTAGTTCTTTACATATTTTAGGTATTAATCTTATTTTCATTATAATTGTCCTATATGAATTAACTACTCCTTTTAGGAAAGTATAAGGAGATAAATATGATAAGTAAAGGTTCTTAGTCCTACTGGTTTTACAAGAAAATTTGACTTAGCAGGTCAAAAGATATTATCTAGGAAGAACCATGGCAGGCTTACATAATTAAATGTGTTAGCTCTAGAAGTAGATTTTACACATCTTTGTTCTCATAATACCTGTTTAGCATCCCAATATATAATGGCAGTGGCTGTGGCAGCAGCAGTGAAATAGGCAATAGCAAGGAGAAGGCCCAAAAACATTTGTATCTAGCCCAAAATGGATTTTTTCTGGTGTTTGTCATAACACATTCTGGTGTTTGTCTACACATTCGTCTCTTCCAGATGTCTATAACTACAAAGCATAGCTTACTTTGACATCTGACAGATGGCAAGGTCATTTTATATTATGTATAATCATATATAATATTGCATATTATACCACTCTTTTGTGAGCATTCTACTTGTGCACACAAACCCTATTCTTTGGCCAGATTACTGTGCAGAATAATAAAGAAAAATACATGATGTCAACTGCTAAAACTAGATTCGAAGAAAAAGATGAATGCCTTGACCAAGGACCCCTGAGAAAACAATCTACAAAATATTCTATTACTCTGTAATGTTGGTATCCTCAAGAACAGTGTCACTGACATCATAGTGAGCTGAACCTGCATAAAACAGATGATGTTCTGTGCTTCCTTTGCCATTTGAGCTAGTGAACTTGTGCTTTCTTTCCTCTTCTTCTTCCCAACAGATAATGATTCTCTCCATGTTGTATTGCCTGTAATTGGGAGATGGATGAGCTAT